TCAACAAAAGTCAGAGACAGAGTTGATAGTAAAGCTCAGGTCTCCTGCCTGCCAATCCAGAGACACATTGCGTCTGCCCTCTAAAAGGATTTGACACAAAGTTAAGTGATAAACATCTTTGAAATTGAGGTGGCATGTAAGGAAATATACAAATATAACAAAATTGTTAAGATAAGAGCAAAAGATAAAGTAAGAATTTAAAAATAAGAGATGGGGTTAGACTTTTTAGTCTTATAGTTGAATCTAAATTCTGTTTCTAGCTTCCTGGTAGGCAAGGCAAAAAGGTCAATGCCCTGGGCTTCATCTAAATTTCGTTATGGAAGAGAACACAGCAATTCAGAGCACCACTTTTCTATCTCTGGAAAAAGTGAGTTGTGGGGGAAATCTTCCTACTCCACCAAAGTGTCATGTATGCCTTGAGGACATGTGAAGATTTTTCCTTGGTTTGCAGCTAAAGTGATTCTCTGCTTCAGTTTCGTAGTTCCCCTTTTAAGTGATCGTTGCTCAAAGTCTGCTCAAAGAGAGTAACTCCATGTTGGTTACCGTTCCCTGGCTGCCTGCAACTGCTATTTCTTCACAGACCTAAGCCAGGAACCAACGGTTAAACTAAACCTCAGAGCATTCTTAAAATATTTTCAAAGCCCTCTCTAGTTATAGATGACCTTCCTCCACTAGTCTCATAAAGCTAGATGCTAGGATATTTTTGCTATCTACTATACTTAGCACGACTTTCAATTCTTGGCCATATTATCACATGCACCCCCTTAAGAGTCCCTTAACAAATAAAGTAACCTGAGTAAAATTAAATCCTTGTTGATTGATCTGAGCTTTGCAGTGCACTCAGCCCCATCCTGCTTTACAGCCCTCTTCTCTGGCTCTCTCCCACCCAGACAATCAAGTCCAGTTAGGCACTCTCTCCTATTTATGGCCGAGCTCTGTATTTTTCCTCCTGTTGTCTGCTATGTCTGTGATAGCACCCATATCCCTATCAGAAGTCATAATTCAACTTTGAACTTATCTTCCTCATAAAATTTGCCAAACAAAGCATGTGAGGGGTTGTGCACTTTAAATTCACTTTTAACACTGGCCTGCATTTCTTTGAGTCCCAGAATTTTAGATATCATAACTAATTGGGGCTCTTTGTTTTGTGAGTGAGAAAACTAAGACCCAAAAAGGTGGAATGATTCGCTTTTCAATCCTTAGCCTGGTGGTTTTTAACCTGTTCACACTTCTTTATGGTATTTATTTTCTGTAATATCTGTGTTTTGTGGATTGGGAAATTTTATTTTCCAATTCATTGCATCTTGTCTCCCGGCTGGCACCCTGGATATTCTTAATTGATAAGTTAATGAACTAAATAAAATAATGTTATCATTTATTTTATATTCTACTTCAACCCCCAAAGAATTAATGAACTGATAAATAAATTAGGGTTACTTTAAAATAAAATTAAGATACATAAAATATTTTGGTCTCTTGATTATTTCAAGGCAGAACTGATAACAGATGAATTTTTTTCATTTTCAAAATCAGTCATCATTATAGCATATCAGTTGCAAATCTTTTCACCTACCAATTCTGATGACTCTTTCTACTGAAAACATTTGATTTAATACTACGATTTTTTTAAAAAAACCATCATAAAGTAAAGAATCTATCCATATAGGTAAATTCCCTCTTCTAGGATGCCAAGTGGGCAACTAGGGTCTTGTTTATAAGAAGTAGATTTATAGAATAGAAAAACAATTCAGTCTTTGGAGGAGCTTCTACAAACAGGAGATGTGAGAAGTGTTCAGAACAAAGAAGGGGTCACCCTACAAAAACAGCAGACTTTGATCTTTCTCCATGCCTAGAGCAAGGTGAAAGGGTAGAGTCTTAAACAAGTCTGATCTGTGTATTTAAATTAAACACTTCCAACATGTATGGGCAAGCGGGAGGGTTATTCAAATGGTAAAAAGTATGGGCTCCAGATTTTGTGACTATACAAATATATTAAGTGTAAAATCAATTCCCTTTTCTCTCTCATAGATTTAACTATAGGAAATAATGAATCCTTAAAAAGGAGTGATTCAATAGCATAAGAATGCAAATTTGGCAGAGTAACAAAACCCCAGTAATTTTGGACATTTTACATTCTTGCCTTTAACTTAAAGTTCCATACTTCTTTCTAAAGCTTGGTTTGCATCCTAACCGTATAATCACTGATACTTTTGACAGATCTTGGGAACAGTGACATTTATGAAGACCCACAACATTAAGAGAACACCCAAGATAATGAGGGGAAGATGTGATGACTAGGCTTGTGTTTTGACTCATTCTGAGGAAACGTATGAGCCCGTCAGATATTTGCTAATTTTTCCAGAGGTAGCATATTTGTCACTGCAAGGTCCATCCTGTCATTGTGCAAGGATTCACAGAAGAACTCCTGATTTGAGAGTTCTGACACCTATTCACTGAGCTGCCACAGTGAACTTAAGCCTGTTGGCAAACCTAGCACAATATCTAGAAACATTGCTCCTAATCTATCAATTCATCATGGATACTAGGAATTCACATCTTTGAGTCATAACTGTTTGATTTTTTTTTTTTTTTTGCAATAGAAACTTCTTGCCCTTGCTCACTCTCTCCCACTGAAGTAAAAGTAACTTAATATTAAGTTTGCTTTGAAATGGACAAAAGAAGAATCAAGGAGCTGTTCTCTTCTGTCATATCCACAGTCTTTGCTCGGTGGATGTGCTAACTCCCATGGGGATTCAAGTGGGGAGCCAAGTAGAAGAAAAGTGACTGAGTTTTAAGGCTGTCTCCCTCAGTCCATTATTTACAGGGCACTCCTGTGGTCCCTAGAAGGGGCATGGTAAAGTAAATAAAATACCCGGTTTCAGGCAGCACCCATCAGGCACCCAGACCCTGAAAGAGAGGTATGAGGTGGAAGCTCAGTTATCCAAATCCCAGTCATGAGCCCAGCAACGGCGAGGCAAGGTGGTTTGATGTGGAGTCTCAGTGTGTTGGCCTAAGCCCTTAAACTTTTCTTGCCTCTATTCAGGTCTCTAAATTGCTCTTAAGGGCTGCAGCAGGTCTGTCTGCATGTGGAGTCCAGGTCAGGTGCTACCATATGAGGAAGCCAGCAGTGCCACTACAATAGTGTAATTTGCACAAAAGCACTTGGCCAAGGTGAGACCTAGCCCTCGGCTCCTGTTCACCAAGCCACATGCCTCTCGCAGCCTGTGCTGGCTCACTAGCAACACTTTTTTTGTAAATCCAAAAAGGTTCCTGTGTGATTGGGGTGACCCTGTCAGGAATCTGATTAAACCCAGGACTCACAATCAGGTAGGTCCTCAAATTTAGACTTCTGGAGATATCCCTACAAGATGTTATTCCCACAGTCATAGAGATACTTAGGATTGAAAGCAGAAGACTGGTTCGTCATTTACTTAATCCTATGTCCTATTATAAGATCACCTGTCACTGGTGGTGTGACATTTGTGTAAATCAGAAAAAGGCTGATCTGAACCAGCTTTGGCAGAGAGCCAGATTTTAATCCCTACTTTTCGCGTTGGCCAACCAGTATGGTCATACCTGGTGCCTCTGCCCGTATGTCCTTTTTAAACATAGATCTGGAAATTATTCTGTAAATGTCAAAATTATATTACATTATATATTTTTGTTTTAGAGTATTAATTGCTTTAATAATGAAAATATCCCACAATTTTTGTAACTAAGTTTTAGCACACCTTCATTTTTAGATATATCAGGACTGTGAAAAAATGGAAGTTTACTGAGTCTCTCTCTCCTTCTTGACCTCTGAGAGAGGGAAGGAGGCAGGAGCTGGAGCTAGGCAGGCCTGACGCCCTCCACCACAAACACTGAGCTAACTGAGGCTGCCTGTCATCTCGAACAATTTTTCCTCCAGGAAATGTCATTGCTTCATTGCATTGCAAGAAAATGATGTCATAGTGTGGGGCCCTGATCCATTTCCTGACTTTTAACCTGAGTCTCCTAACCTTTTTCAGCTGTACTGCACTCAGAGTAAATGAAACACATTAAAATGTAAAGGCCAACGTGTCTTGTAAAGTCTTTCGAAGCCCCAGGGTGGGGTTAACTTCTGCATATATACTAAAAATCAAAATACAGTCTTAAAATAAAAAAGTTGGGGCTGGCTGGATTGCTCACTCAGAGCAAGTGTGGTGTTGGTAACACCAAGGTCAAGAGTTTGGATCCCCTTACTGGTTTCAAATGTTAGTGTGCATAAGATTCACCTGGAGGAGGGCTTCCCAAAACAGATTGCTGGGACCCAACCCCAGAGTTTCCAGTTCTTACAAGTTCCCAGGTGATGCTGATGCTGCTGGTCTAGTGACTACAATCTGAGAACCACTGCCCTATGCTACATACACAGGGCCAAGACATAGAGAATATGAGAAGCAGATCTTGAACCACACCAAGAAAGACCTCCTACATTTAGAGCCACTCAGTAACGAATGGGGTTTCCTCTCTGGAATGGTAGAACCGTAAAGGGCATGTAGGTCTCGGGACATTTGATGAGCAGTTGGCCTAATGGACCTCTAAGGTCTCTTCAGTCTATTAAAGTGCTTGTTATGAATGTCAAAGACAAGAGACAGAGAGGCTGGGACGGAGGGTCCAACTCCCCTGCAGAAGACCCTTCTCATTATCGCCACAATTCAGTGCTTTAATTGTGCTTTGAAGATTTAGAGTCACACCGGTAATGACAATGAAGAAAAGCTGATAAGAATGTTTCCTTAACTTAGGTAATATGAAATTACAGTTTAATGAAACACCACAGAAGAAACAAGAGGAATTTAAAGAAAACATTTATTCACTGCAAATTTATATTTCAGATTTTAAAACTTCTATGACAACAATGATATAATTTCAAATTTTATATCATAATATTAAATCATACAAAATGTCATCAACTAAAAAGGCATAAAATGTGTAATTATTTTAATTTTTATTTCATAAGAACATAGAGGAAAAGAGTTTAAAGACCAAAATTATTTTGTAAATGTTTCAAAATAATAACCACAAATAAGGCAAATTTTAGAACATTGCTCCAAATTTAACGTCCATTCTTTTGACCCTAGGAAGAAAAAAAAAAAATGAAGTATTTATTTCCACAGTTTATCAAAGAAAATAGAGTGCCACTTCTGACATTTAATTTAGCCTTTTTTATGTCACAGGAACTCAATGAAGGATAATTCAAGTAACTGCATCTTCGTACCGCTTAAGGACGACAGAGGAATCAGCAGAGAGAACAAAATTGGTGGTGGTGGAGGGGGGGCAGAAAGGTATAAAAAAGAAATATGTGTGTAATAAAATATCTGGCATAAGCATTAAGCAGTCAGGGAGAGCCATTGCTTCTGTGGGTAAGGGCTGTCTAAGGAAGTGGGAAATCTCTCTGTTGAGCATCTTTTTTGGTCATTCGCTGTTTGTTTTGTCTGGTTTGGATTGGTTTGGGGCTTTTCTAAAATTAACAGAAGGTTAAAGGGCACTTTCTGAAATCTTTGATCAGGAGCCAAGAATTTAAATTTGATTAGAAGTGAGGGGGAGGAAGTAAACATTTCTTGAGCACCTATCAAGTGCCAAGCCCTGCATCAGGCTCTTGCTAGAAATTCTGTCTTTTCATTTGTTCAACATGTGAGGTAGGGGTTATCTCCAGTTTTCAAATGAGAAACCTTAGGCTCAGAGAGGTTTAACATTGATTTGCTCAAGGCTACTCAGATGGTAAATAACAGAGGTGACAATTAAACCTAAAACTGTCTGATTTCAAAGGTGCCACTACACATCAGGTTCTCCATGTATCATAAATAACAGTGAAAGCAATTCCTCTCTAACAAACCACTGCTCTTTGGCATGGAAATTCAAATCTACTTTTTCTTTATATTCTTTTCTGGGGATTCTTCCTGGATTCCATGACCATAGTAAATTTTCCATGACATGTGAACTGTTTTTAGATTTAAAATGCCCCTGCTGTAGATTTAAACTATGGCTAGGAAGATATAAAAAAGAAATTTAGTATTGCAACCTGCTATTCTTTTGACCTCCACGCTCCCAATCCCAGCTTTACTGGTCAATTTTTTATTTTTACACTGTGCTTACTACTTTCTAATATAATACACTATTTCATTTTTTAATTATGTTTATTGCTTATTTTTTGTCCTCCTGCTTGAATGTAGACTACACATTTTTTGCTTGTTTTCTTCACGAATGTATATCAAGTTCTAGAAAAGGGATCAGCAAACTTTTCTGTAAGAGTCCACATAATGAACATTTTAGGGATTGTGGGCTATGTGATCTCTGTCACAACTACGCAACTCTACTACTGCAGTGTGAAAGTAGCCATAGACAATATGTAGACAAGTAAGCACAACTATGTGCCAATAAAACTTTATTTATGGATGCTGAAGCTTGAGTATGATACAATTTTCATGTACAAAGAAGTTTTGATTTTTTCCAGCCATTCAAAAATATAAAAAACTATTCTTAGCTTGCAGGCCATACAAAAAAAAAAAAAGGCAGTTACTCAGTTTAGGCCAATACGCTGTAGTTTCCCAACCCCTAGTCTAGAAAATAGTGCCGGTACATAGTATGTGCTCAGAAAATAGAATTTACTGGAACTGTCCCAGTGATAAATATTACATCCCATTGTCCCCATGAATCTCTTACTAGCTCCCCATCCCATGAAAACAATAGCTAACTCAGGGAACATTCCACTCCCCTACCTGGTCCATGGGAATGGCAGCTACTAAACAGCAAGACTGAATTTGCTAGAACACGACTGTCAGCGTTAGAAGGGACCTTTGATAGCATATGATCGGCACTTCCCAACGGGTGCTTCCCATATCCCTGGGAAACCTAGAAGGCCTTCTAGAAAGAAGCTGTTACATCATTAAAAGATCTATTTCAATTCCATCTAAAACATTAGCAATAAAATAATTTGTTTTCCCTTTTAAATAGAATTGTTTGGAAACTTTTTTGGGGGGGGAGGTTGGTTTATTTCTCATCTGAACATTGTTTTGTTCTGTGACTATTTTTAAACTATCATCAACTTTTAACTGTCTACATCACTTAATTTATATAACTAGTCATTGGAAAAAGATAGAAGGTATAAGAAGCACTGATGTTGAAATTGAAGTAACAAAAAGCATAAAAATGAAAATAATTTTGCCAATATGCTTAAGATTATCTTCACCAAATCCCTAAGTTGTATTCATCTGCTCAACACTCTTATGGGATACATCAGCATATATCTCATATTTCTATGTTAAAAAGGAAAAATATATTGAAGATTATATGTGGTTTAGTTTGTCATCCATTGTCAGTGAAGTCTAGCGATATTAACAACGTGTTATTTGCAGAGAAGTGCTGACAAATATTAACCTGATACTTTCTCTCATATCCTTATTTGTTTATTTATAAAAACAAATCAAATGCACTAAGTTCAAACCTTAAATTACATAATAACTTTTCATTGATTTTTGATTGAGTATAACAAATAGTTAAATACAATTCTAAATTTTAGTATGCTCTGGTCTCCAAACTAAACACGATATATGTCACTATAAAATTTGCCCCAAAATTATGCTTTTAGGGGCCGGCCCGGTGGCGCACAAAAAAAAAAAAAAAAAAAAAAAAAAAAAAATTATGCTTTTATTATACATTCAATTAATGTTAATTAAGTAGAATGCCACTTGTTAAATGGGAAAAGTATAAACTTGCCTAACTACACTATGAATATTATAAAGATTATATTAAGTTAAATTTTGTAATATAATCTGTTATAAAGATTATGTAATCTTTAAAAACAACTTTATATGGTAATAAAATAATGAATTTTTTTAATACGGGTTTTTATGAGACTTTATTACTGTGAAAGGGGTTATAAACCAGAGAAGGATGGGAAATACTGATCTAGTCCACTTTGTTTTATAGCTGAGGAAATCGAAGCCTGTCATTTTGTTAGAATTAAGCCTGGGCTTTCTGACCAGCGAGCAAGGCTTTATATTGTGTAACTCTAGGGGGCGCCATTCGTACTGTTGTGGTGCCATTTTCGTGGACGTTAACGAGATAATCCGTGGCCTCTGGAGAAGAGCAAAGCAAAGGCCTCGGCTTTCAATTATGCAGTGCTGAGTCAGTGAAAATCCCTGTCATTAAATCCTGCTCAGACATTTTTCTGAAGTTTTCAATATATTATTTGCAAGACCTCTGAGTTGTCAATCTTTTTTAAACTAAGACACAGGTGAGAAAAACTAACAAAGAAGCACTAATTCACCTAACCGTTAGTGAGATTCTATGTTTTTTTAAACCAGATCTTATGCTGGGGGCTAGGAATCAGAACCACCAGAGGAGGAGAAGCCATGGAGAAGGAAGAAAACCAAAGAGAATGATGCATGCAAGTCGAAGTGTGGGGGTGGGGGGGGGCCTTGGCCAAAGTGGTCAGAGCTTTCAAAGGCTGGGCAGAGGTCAAGGAAATTCAATATCTGCTCAAAAATGTATTCATGAATAATAACATTTTTAGATTAAGATGGGGGAGCAGGGGAAAAAACTAAATTGACTGCATATCAAGAGGAAATTATGTTGAAGCTTGTGATAATTTATAAAGTAAAGAATTACAAAGAACAGTTCTCAGGATACCAACCCTCCCCACCTACTGATCCCTCTTTGGCAAAATATCAAACTTACTTTAAATACATTACAATAAACATTTAGTCTCATTTCCTCTCTCAGTAAGTTGCTATCACCCTTGGTGTGGTCCACCGATTAAATGAAATGCAAATATCCTGGAAAAATAGCTTTCATTTCTAAAACATAAAAGTTCATTTTTGTCTGTGAGAAGCATAAGAAAGATTGTCTAAGAGAAACATGACTTTGCAAGGTCACTCAGAGTAGGTGGGACTCAGGATTGCTCATACACCACCTAAACTGTGTCCAGCGGTCAGGATGCAGTCTAGACTCTGGAAGACCTGGGACTGAATTCTTGACTCTACATCGAGGTGAGAGTCTCAATGTCCTCATTTGTGAAATGGGCATAATGAGCTTCAGAGTATTGCGAAAAATAAAACAGGCCAAATGTCCAACAAATTGTAACTGCCCAATAAATAGCATCTATAATTATTCTTCTATTACCTGGTACTCCTCTGGTCAAAGAGACACTCATTACAGTTCAGCACCTTGTAATTCCAGTGCTTTAACTGGAATTACATCTATGACATTAGGTTAGTTATACGATGTAAGAGAGGAAAAACACTTAAAAGCAATCGTTTTTAGCAAATAATCTATAATTTATGTAGTTATAAGCCCATTGCCTATTCAATGATATAATGAAAAGTTTCTTTAAACGGCAGCATACAAAATAATTCTGGTCGGGTTAATGTGACAGATTGAATATTAGGCAAAGAAAAGTGTTGCTTGAGGTGGTTAAAGTGATCTGGGAATCTGACTAAATCGTGTACTGTCTTACACATATGGCATCTTGAGTGACACAGTAAGGCAGTGATGAGATGCACCCCAGTGACACATCAAGGTGGCTTAGGACAGGTAGAGAGTCACCCTCTCCAGTATTTAAAATCTCCTTTTCTGCTTGCTTCCTGTAGTACTCCCTTCTGAATGCTAATCTTCTCAAAAGGAATGAAGTTGTATTTCAAAATCACAGACTGAGACAGATCTGGGAAGGTCCTCGGAGGTCTCTGGGCTAAATCCTGTGGTCTTAGGGATGAGGAAGCTCAAGCCCGCAGCGACTGATGTGTGTAGGGGTGGACTGCTACCTTGTCCACGCAGTCCCCACTGGGTCCTTGGCCACTCTGGGAGGGGCCCTGTCATGGTGTCATTCCTCGCCTCCCCACACCTTCCTTCCCAATGTTTTTACCCTAATTGCTTCCTCCGTTTCTCTCCCTCCTTTCCTGTGGGAAGTGCACTCAGGCATCAGGCTATTTCCATCAATTATTCTCTTCTTTAATTAATAAAATCTAAAGTATCAAACCAACATTGTTACATTTTAAATGGTGTTGTACTCATATATTAGCAACATTATAATCATTCAGAAATATTCAACAGTGTAAATGAAGTTTTCTTTGCATTCTT